ATCCATGTAAATACTTACATCCTCTTTTATTTTTACAGTGAACACAGCTTTGATTCATCTGTGTCAGATTAGCACATCTGGATTTTAGGATACTCCCATTAGTCCTTACAGATTTGTCCCGGCTCTGTCAAAATTAGAAGGGGAGTGTCCATGAACAGCTCATCATGTCAGTGAACAGTCAGTCCATAGATTTTCAAAAGGATTCAATTCTGGGCTTGGACTCAAGGACTTTAACATTCTTGTTGAGAAGCCAACCAACATAAATCTACAGCGTAAGGTCTGAGGCATTCATACGCTTGTTCTCCTGAATAAATGTGGTTTCTGTCATTGTCCCCCTATAGGCTTAAAATTGCCCTTGTCTCTGCAGCTGAAAAGCCCACCCCCCATGAAAGGATGCTGCTCCCGTGCTTCACGGAAAGGATGGTGTTAGATGATCATTTTAGCCACACATACCGAAATACTTTGTTTTGCTGAGGAATTCAGTATTAAACACAAGAGTCTTCCACCAGCATCTCCCATTGGAGCCTTCTAACTGTAATTCTGTCAAAGTAGCCCTCAGTCTATTAGTCTAATTTTCTGGCCGAGGTCATTTTTGCCCAAACCAGCTTTAAATCTTATAGTTCGATGTTTTCTGTGTTTTAATGATGTAGCCATCTGTGTTCTTGCAAAGTCCCAACAGTTCATATTGATGTTTTCCCACAAAACAGCCTGTGCCATAAAATAACAGAGGACTTAATGAAAATGTGCACAGATGCAAGGAATTAGCTAGGAATTGGATTCTATGCACAGGAGGTGAGGAGGGATCACTCTCCATGGTTTTTCTCATCCTTACACACCAACATTATTGTCGTCTATCGCTATAAAATCTGGCATGTTGGGCTCAACCCTGGCGCTACTCTGTTCATTTCACACTTTCACCTGTATTTCACATGTTTGTCTTCTAAATGTTGTTCCCTGTAACCTCTACAACCTCTGCATTTGTTTTTGTGGATTTCAGTAAAAACATTGTTTCAAAAACCAGAGTATGTGTCAAATAAAAGTATGCATTATTTGCTATACTTGTGGACCACAAAGGTAACTGGAGATCAAGCACACATTAAAGCAGATAAATCAGCATTGTTTCTTTGTCTCCATCTACACTATTGAGACAAAACAAAACTTTTGCAAATACAGCCAAGTACATTTGCTTACCAAAAAGCACTTGATTCATATATTTCTCTTAGATTTCACATATTTTGTTGGTTTTGAGTCAGTGGAAGCAGCATAAAAGGTAAAAATACTGAACTGAGCGTCTCAGTAAAGCAGGATGTAACATTTCTCTTTGGTAGGTTGCACAATAACTATAGACATAAGTATCTTGGGGGTTTATAGAAAATAAAACAGATGGGGAAATGTAAAAAAAAGGGGGGCCATGGGATGTTCCCAGCTACATTTGGAGTATATTTTGCCACTTTTAACCTCCAGGTCAACTTGACATGAATTCTGTACAATCTGGCTCTCTTGTGGCTTCACTGGCTCATCCCTTTCATCTATTTATTCCCTCTTTTGCTCTGTCCCCTATCTCCATCTCTGTTTTTTGCTATCAGGGTAGTGTGACACAGTGGGCAATCAGTAGGGGGTTGTGGTTGGTTCTGACAAAGCAGGTAATAGTAAATCAATGAAAGGACAATCAACTGTGTGCCGTCTGCCAGCCTCCTTCACACACAGCTGGATGTGAATTATTTTAAAAGCTCAGAACAGCCCAGTCTCTCCAGTCATCATCAAATACACTCTGTGGTTATAGGTCTGGGTTGGGGGTAGTGCTTGACAGATAACAGTAAATCAATGGACCCGCTAGCATCCCTATCTTCAACACAGATGGGGCAGTTGAACATCTTCAAATGGCCAGACAATTGGAACTGCAGCATCAGATAGATAATAGGGCAGATCTAAGACTGAAGACTTTGGGACCAGCACAAGAGCCAGGCAGTTGAGAATAAATCAATGACAAGCCTATTAACCCCTGTGTCAGCTGTTCTGTAGGCTAGATGAAAGAGGTGCAAGGAAGAGAGGCCGCTGAAGAAGACAAAGAATGGCAGAAGAAAGGGTGTAGATACTGAAAGAAGCAACTGAGATAGAGATTAGAGGGAAATGTCAGATAAAGAAGAGTCAACTTCAAAAGTCTGTGAAAAGCAAAGACTGCTCGTCATGTCTGAAAAAGTCTGGTTCTTTTGTTTTTTTAAATCCTTTCATTTTTCCCAACCTGAAAGAGGAAACCTGATGTATGGTTGTCCTGCAGAGAAGTCAGACAGCAGAGCAATTACTGACTCGGTGGCTGTGGAGAGAAAAACCAGTGTGGCTATTTGCAGTTTTCTGCTTTTGCCATGCCATGTTTTGTATCAGATGCATCATATCTATGTCTAAGTGCATCTGAGCGGCACCAAATATTTCAACATCAGACATGATAAATAACAAAAAGGTGCTGATAGGACCATATGCCTTAATGTAATGACACTATAGCACTATAGCAGGTCTAATATGTTTTATTCACTCTCAAAAACTGCAAGAGCAAAAAAAAAAATGGAAGAGCTTCTGACCACTGAGGGTCTTTATTTACACAAAATATTTAGAACATAAATGCTCCTTACCTTTAAACCTCCATCACGCACTAAATTTTCTTTTTAATTGGCGTTATTGGTATAACGTTTTAAATCTAACATGTTGCCAAAGCAAATATGAATACTGCACAATATAATGATCTCTCTCTCTCTCTCTCTCTCTCTCTCCTCGCGCACGCACGCACACACACACACACACACACACACACACACACACACACACACACACACACACACACACACACACTCATTTGGTGCCAGCAGGACACCTCAGTCAGCAGTTCAGACTCTCTAGCTCCATCTACTGACTGAGCCACGTACAAGCAGAAGACTGTACATTTCTTTTTTTTCTATCAGTCACTGACTGACTGATCACAATCACAGTCAAAGTTACCTCACACAACACATTTTCAATTCATTCATAAGGCAGGGAAATACTCTTATTCATAAGGTACCAGGAAATCTGCAAGAATACATCAAATTTCAACGTATTGAAATTAGATATTATGCAAGCATACAGATGGATCTGAACTTTTCAACCAGCCTAATTTGAAACGACATCTGTCAAAAAAATCTTAATACTGTATTGACAGATGTCTTTCACTAGCGGACATTAAACATTATCACTAGAGGTCACTAAAGCTCCCAGAAACTAGAACTTGTCACACTTTCCACGTGTTTAGTCAACAACCTATTCTTGCCTTGAACAGTGTGGGTAATATTTCACAGCTTACTGTGGCATCTAACAATTAGGTGTAGGGTGTAGGATTTTAATTGGAACCATATAGCTAAATGCTGTGGAGATTTAACAAGCATACTGTTTCCTTTTAACCTTTTTTAGGACATGACAATGTGGGTCTGATGCTCTTTGAAGTATAAAAACCTCAGTAATCTTGAAATAAATTCACTGGTCCCTAAAAGAGCAACACTCTCTACTTAATCACTTTCCTTAGGTGACACACATTAGCACCTTCTGAACAAAATATCTTAACATAAAGGGTATTTGCATCATGAATATGAGTCTATATACATATAGTGCATTTGATTCAGACTATGTCAAGTGATTTATCAGTAACTTGTTACATCATGCAGATGATCAGGGTTTCTAAGTAACTTCTCTCCTGCACATCTCCTTTCAGTTCCTAGCAATGGGAAATACTTGTAATTCCAGACAGCTTTGTTGTAAAATTACCCTCGCTATCCTGTTGCTATTGTGTGTGTGTGTGTGTGTGTGTGTGTGTGTGTGTGTGTGTGTGTGTGTGTGTGTGTGTGTGTGTCAAATTACACTCAAGTGTCTTTGGGACAGTCCTAAAGATAGTGACCGGGCAGGAGTGTGTCCATGTGGTGTAACATTGCAGTATTCAAGGGCAGAAATAAAGTGAGTAGAACAGAAGAGAGCAATATATTCATTTCACTCAGTGTTGTGAAATCTGATCAAGCTGTGCAATAAATGTGTGTGTTAACACCCAATAAGTAGTATAATAAAAACAAAAACCTCTCTGCAAGAAAGACTAACATAGAACAAAATAGGTGTCACAATAACCACATTTCACTCTGATTTTTATCTGCGATAACGAAAAAATAAATCTAATTTGTGTTCTTGTTTGAGTCAACAACATGGTCTAATCACTGAAATCCTACTATGCATGAGAGAATAGAACAATAACACAATTTAACTTTGTTTTGTAAAGTCTAAAACTAATAAAAGTATCATTTTAAAAAGCCAACACATATAAATTGTGTGCTTGTTTGAATCAACAACCTACCCAGTCAAAGCCTCTGTAACCCTGTGAGAGAATAGAGTAGCACATTTCACACATATGTTGTGAAATCTGATCTGCTTATACCAGCGGTTTTCAAAGTGAGGTCTGTGGACCACCATTTAATAAGATTTGGTACCAGGGTCCTGCGTCTGATAGGATTTTTCCAACAAAATCTTATAAAATGGGGGTCTACGGTTTAGTTTAAGGGTCCTTGACGTGAAGAAGTGTGTAAATCACTGACCTATACAACAACAAAAATGTTAAAACCTAAAAACATATAAACAATAAACAACATATCATCACTGTTATTATATAATCTAAGCATGATTTATATAGTAGACTAAGACTGTTTTTAAATTCAACCAAACTTATATTATTTATCTTAAATTGCACATGTACAGTTTAGTTTTTAAGGCAAACTGCTTAAAATATTTTAAATTGTACCATTGTACTTGCACATTGCTTATATGCTTATAGTGTATATATTTTTCAGTTATAGTTTTATATTTCTATTATATTTTGTAATGTTCTTATCTGTGACAAGATTGTACTTTTCTACAGGGGATTAATAACAGTATATGTTATCTTATCTTATATCTTATCTACAGTAATTAGACATAATAAATGCATATACTGTAGATATCCACCTACTTCATGTATTTAAAGTAATCATTAATAATTCTGTATTTATTCCACGACTCTTTGCATTATTGCATCATTTACAATTTACAGAAACAAGTGACTTGTATATTTCATGTTGTTGTTCATTGTAGATTTTTATGTACATTTATCCACATGCAATATAATAGAAGAGAATAGATTGGATGACAGTCCGCTGGTTAACATGAATCTTAAACACAGAGGTCAACAATAACAGCAGGAGGGCTTCCTTGACATTCAAGGAAACAAGGGCTAAGTCATTTGATGTGTCTTCTTCCTCCTCCTCAGGACAGCAAACAGCTTCTCTGAACACAAAACATAAACACACCTGTCAAAATACATTATCAACAGAGTCTAAAGCAAACATTTACTGCCCCAAAGAAGACATGTTTTTTTTTTTAACAGTGCACTTCTCCTTTGTTCTCTCCTCCATTCCTCTCTCGGTCACCTTGTAATGATGTGAGCCTCCGCCTTCACCACAGATGAAGAAGATGAGGCGTGCTGCGCCCCGCCGATGCTGAGAGGAAGGAAAGAAGGGGAGGAGGAAAGGGGAGGACTGGAGGGAAGGAAAGGAGGAAAGAAGGGAAGGGGAGGGGGGAAGAGAGAAAAAAAAAACGAGAGAGAGAGAGAGAGAGAAGGAGGGGGGGCTAGTGGATGTAGCTCTAGCTGTGGGCCGGGGGGTGAGCTACCTAGCCCGGGCTGCTCTGCCGAAACATCCATGGGTGGCTGTGTCGGGAGCCACCACGACTCCTCGGGCAGCTTAAACGAGAACTCGGACGGCACTGGAGGTAACTTACGGGGCTTATCGACGTCTTTATAGTGCCTACAAGCTTGGCTTTTTAGTAAAGAGGAACGAGGGGGGGGGAGGTGGGCTTCCTCTAGGCTTTCTTGCATGTTGTCCTGGCTGGAGGTCTCCTTCCCTTTCCTTTATACCCGAGCCAGACATAGCCAGAGACAGACACGGCAGCCCACCCGTGTATCCGCTCCACCACAGCGGGTCCTGGGAGCGAGAAAGGACGCCTCGTCGCTACTTTATAAACTGTGAAATATTTACTGTGCGACGCTGCCTCCCTTTGTTCTTTTGCTGTTGACTTAGCTAGCCGGCTAAAACGTAGCATAGTTAGCTTGCTAGCTTTTTTTTTCTCTGCATAACAAATATGGGTCACAGACGGAAATGGCATGCAAGGAAACGCACCGGAGTGTTTTCATCTGATTTTCAATTGTCTCCTGACTCTTGTTTGCTGAGCACAAGCTGCACTTGTTATTATTTGTCAGGCCTTTTTGTTTTTATTGATTGTTTTGTGTAAGCGAGGTGTTTGTGCATGTTTAGTTTTGGGGGGGTGGGTAGCAAAGAAGAAGAGGCGTCAAAACTTAAAGGGTCCTTCAGCTTCATGATTAAGATTAAGTATGTTTTGAATAACTGCGGTTATTTGGTAGATAAAGGCCTGAGAGCAGTGCACCATGCAGGCAGAGCAGACTCAGACTGCTGCAACATTGTGTTTATTGAGCAATAAACAGAAGTGCATGCCTTGCCTAAGGTTATGGGGCATGACAAGTCAAGCAGGGAACATTTTTAACTGTGGTTTTGTGCATGGAAATATGATTTAAAATTTAAATTTAAAACAATTCTGGTGACATTACAACTTGGATGATTGGTTAAAACCATCAAGGTGTGTTGAATTACATCTGGTGTATGTGGGGCTGGTACAAAAGCTGCCATATATATATATATATATATATATATATATATATACATATATATATATATAGTTTATAGAGGAGATGGAGACAGTGTACATGGTGCATCTCATACATGCAAAAGCATCCCTGCCTGTGTGGTTTGTAATTTGTTTTATTTATTTTTTTATGTTTTAAGAGGTTTATCAAGCTAAGTTACCATACACAAGTTTATACTGTAGTTTCCTGGTCTGAGGAAGGGTCCCACTACTGGCCAGTAAGGGTTAGGGTATTTTAATTACAGACTGGGAGATAGAGCTGTGCTTGGGGGGAGGGGGACTGGGCACTTAGAGATGCTGAGATAACCTTAATGTCCCGAACTCCTTCATGTCTAGATTACACAAACAAGTTTCAGAGATCCCTTTATCTGTGAAGGGTGTGTGTGTGTGTGTGTGTGTGTGTGTGTGTGTGTGTGTGTGTGTGTGTGTGTAGTAACAAGACACTGTCCAGTGTTAAAACGCATGCAAACAAGCAGCTGTTACTTGACACCTTGCTTGCTGATGACAAAGCAATTAGACCAGAACACGTGTACATTTCGCTGTTGCGTAGTTCAAACATATGGATATTTTAATATAGAATTGTCCTTTACACATACGGGCCTACATGCATCCCTATGGATTTCTGGGAATTACTGAAAAGCAGGCAAGTGTGTAAACATAAATTAGTAAATTGTGGGCCGACAGATGAGCTGGAAAGTGGGCTAATGTAGAATTATGAACACACAGCCAAGCAGTCAAGTTGACCATAACATACAAGTACATACATAGGAATTCAGGCAGGTATTTAAGCATAAATGCCCATTCATTCATTTTAATATACCTTCTATTCTCTGTTTGAGTTTACTGCTGTAACATCTAAATTTCCCCAGAAGCACCACTCAACCAAGGACCTACTTTCCCCTCCGTCCCTTGATTAAGTACCATAATCTGGTGGACATTTTTAAGAGAGACTATAAACAACCAAATAAAAACAAAAGTCAAAGTGTAACCAGTCTGTCAGTCAGATGTTTTATTTACTACAGTCAGCTGAAGGTTGGTGATCACATGGCACAGTCTGATAACAGTCTGAGTACATGTGTACCGGCAGCAGGTGCAACTCAACACCCTGATCTGTCATCCTCCTCTCTCCTCTCCTTTCCTCTGTCTCTGTTGTGCACACAAACACACACACACACACACGCACGTACAGACTGTCCTGTACCTGTCGTCCCCTTCGGTGTTGATCCAGATGGTGTTATTCATCAGCCGTTCTGCTGCAGATGGAGCACTGTAAGACGCTATAACCATAACCTTTTAACTGCGTTTAGTAACATAACACTTCTAGCATCAATTCTGCTCTGTGTGTGTGTGTGTGTGTGTGTGTGTGTGTGTGTGTGTGTGTGTGTGTGTGTGTGTGTGTGTGTGTGCGCGCGCTCTATGGATATATAACAGGATGGTGTAGGCTGTTTAATCTGTCATCCTAGCTCAGTTTTGCACTTTAGTGATCTTAAATGGCTGATGCTTTGTTTCTGATAAAGCCTAACTCTTCTTATTCCCTCTTTCTCCCTTACTTCTCATTTTTATCCACGATGAACTCCCCCACCTTCTCTCTCTCTCTCTCTCTCTCTCTCTCTCTCTCTCTCTCTCTCTCTCTCTCCTCACACACTGACTGTCATCTTCCACTCCATTCATGCCTACTTTCTGTTCTCTACATCCCCATTTGTTTCTGTTTCCTTATCTATTCTCCTCTCTGTTGGTTCCTTTATCTATCCCCATTTTTCTGTCTCTTCTTGCATCCTTCAATTTACCCCACCCTCACATTTTCTCTTTCCATCTTTTCCTCTTGCTTCCTCTTCTTCATCCCCCCTCCCACCCAACTGTCTTCCTCTATATTTCTTTTCTCTCCATCTCTCCTTTCCTCTCTCTCGTCCTCCCTCCCAGTGGCTCTAGGGCGTAACCAGCCCCTGAAGAGAGAGCGGCCTAAATGGAAAAGTGACTACCCGATGACTGAGGGCCAGCTGCGCAGCAAGAGAGATGAGTTCTGGGATACGGCGCCAGCTTTCGAGGGCCGGAAGGAGATCTGGGATGCGCTGCGGGCTGCGGCCAGCGCCTTTGAGAGTAATGACCACCTGCTGGCTCAGGCCATCCTCGATGGGGCCAGCATCACACTGCCACACGGTAACACACATCTCCACGGTGGTGGATGTAGCAGACATCTCATAGTGTTTTTTCTATTCTCCATGAAATACCCCTGGGTGAACTATGTAGGCCATTGCATTTGATGATTACCATCTCAAGAATTTCAACTCTCTCTTCCCAAGTTCTCGAGAGCAACTAAAACCCTTAGCTCTTAGCTGTATTGAATTTCTTTGCAGTTTGAGGCTGTACTTAAGGCTCCAGATCTTGTTTTTGTGCTAGATTATATGTGTATGAACACTAAGATTTGGAATCCATGCAAGAGGCTGAAACTTAAAGGCACACTGAGTAGGATTTTCCTAAAAAAATCCCTCTGAATCATCACTCCTGACCCACTAGAAGTGATGTCTGTACGTCAAGTAATATGAGGACATATTCATGATTATCCCAATAATGGAAATTCACAATGATAAACTTATCTTATTAGTGGGTTTCATGCCAATATGCAAGAATATGGTGTTCCCATCCCTAGTAGTGTGTACAAAAATTAAAACATTTGCTAGTTAGAGCTTCTTAAACATTTTAGGTCATACATGATGAATATCATGATTGAATATCTTTGGGTTTTGGTCTGTTGGTCAGAAAATACAAGGACAGGACATTACCTTGGGCTGTGGGAAATTAAACAGGAATATTTAATTTTTTCCCTTAAATCTCGAAAATAATCAGCAGATTAATTGATAATGAAAATAATCATTAGTTGCAGTCCTACGTTGATGGACACTGTTGTCCCACAAAGGAAAAAAGGAGCTACTCACAGCTGGAAGAATATTAAAACTAATTGTGGATGGTGGTAGAACGGCTCCAGGAACACCACAGAAAGCAAAAACATAGCAATTAATTTCCTTGGAAATTTGAAAGTTTAATCAGTCTTGTTAAGGGTAAGTATGTAAAAGGATGAAGTACGTAAAACTGCAAAAGCAGTATACAAATATATAGTTTATACTGTATACAGTTGACTTGCTGCATTTCTACCTACCAAATACCATCTACAACTATTAGATGTAGGTGTTGTAAATAGAAAATGGAGCGCACATTTTCTTGGTCTTTTTCCCGCCTCAACTTTGAGACTGATTTTGGTGGATAGTTTCAGAACAGCTACCATGTTTCACAAGTTCAAGTTGGTGTAGGAAGAGTTCGTTTTGCTCTCTAGGTGAAGGAGACAGCCGTCAATCATCTACTGTGCAGACCACTTGAAAAAACATCTGTCCCAAGCTAATGCGGCTATGGCTGTTCAAGAACAAACAACAATTGTGAGATGGCTTTGCCAGGCCATGACATACATTCATGCCACCCTCAGAAGCTAAAGGGTGTAGTAAAACCTCCCCAGGAAGTGTCTTATACATTCTCTGTAGTTTCAAGTGTCATCAAATGTTGAGGTTTCATTAACAGGAAGTGAACTTAACCATACATGACAATTCATTTCTGCTTGGGTGAGTGGCCTCTGTGCTGCCATTTTTTGTAGCTTTAAATGTTTCCTGATTCCAAGCAATTACAAGCATGTTAAAATGACTCTAAGTGTATCTCAATGTCTGCATTTTAGAGCTATTAGGAGGTATATACCGTAGAAGGAATCAATGAATAATAAATGAAAAGGGGTGTGTCCTTGGTCTTCTGAAAGTAGGATGTAAAGAGGTAATAACTCACATAAGTATACCAAAGATAGTGCATCTTCTAAAACACAATGGAGTGCATCCAAACAACCAATCAGTGCAATTGACGACAG